TACTTTAGTCTGGGAGTGGGTCACTTAGGTGCAGATTTGGGAGGATACTTTGTTAGTTACATGCTTAAATACAAATGCTGGCTTTGATGCTTTTTGTCGTAGGGCATGTTGGTAATCCATGTCTCTCTTGGGCTGAATCATGCTGTTGGGTTTTTAATTGCTTGCCTTTTTTTGCTCTGTGCCTCAGTTTCCTCCTCCATGTTGTGGGCACAATAACTTCCTGGCAGGAGTCCCCACGGGGCAAGGCAGCAGTGATTTTGTACATTACCACGCCACTGTGCTGGGACAACGTGAGGAGCAGCGGGTTGCTGCTGTTATGTTATGGAGCCAGAGTGAAGCGGGCAGGGCAGGAGAGGGATGTCTATCACAAACCCACCAGCAGGAGCCCTGTTGCTGGTGCGGGCTGAGGTAGGAAAGGGCTTGTGGGTGCCGAGTCCCAGTCGGGATCCGCTGGCACGTGATCCAAATGTGCAAGTCAAGAGACTTGCGCTGAGTAATACGCTTGTACCTTATGGGTTTATGTTCCTAATGGAATGGAGACTATAGCCTGTAAATCTTCTGATCGTAACTCACAGCTAGAGACGCCAGAAAATCCAAGCTCATGGCTTTAAAATTATGAATTACAGTGCTTGGCTGTGTGGCTTTTATTAGCCAGGTTCTCCCAATGATCTAAATGTTCGGGTCACTCCATAGGTTTTTGTCTGCTGCTGTAAAGTGAGAATGCAGGTCGAGTGCCGCATGAAGCACAGAAACCCAAGAGTGACTTCATCCTCCAATAACTCCTCCAGTGCTGTCTCCCAGGGAACCCCTTTGTATTCAATTAGCTAATGTGTGCCTAGCACTTTGAAAATATAGAGTGCCATAGAATTGCTAAGTGTTGTTATTTAACAGCACATATTTAGTGGTTGCAGCCCTGTAGTAGAAGTCAGAAAATCTACACTATAATTGCCTGGTGCTGCTGCAGAATTTCTTGTGATTTGAGGAAAGCCTGGGGATTTTTCTTCTGTAAAAGTTCATTAATTTTGGCTGCAGACCCTCAGGGCCTACTTTTTCTGACATCTCATGAAACAGAATATTGACTTTTGGTGGGTGATTTAAAAAACAGACCAAAAGAGGGGGAGGAATTCAGGCAGCCAGGATTGGTATACCTGAAATTAGCCTTGGCATGGTTTTTGATAGTCCTCTCTGTGCCTCAGGTTGCACTGGTTGGCATAAAGGAGCTGGACTGAGACAGAGGGCAAGATGCTTGTCAGCTAGTGCAATTGTTCAGTGTAGGGAGGGGAAAGAATCATTGGCAGTGGAATAGGAGGTAACGAGGGAGATGCTCTTTGCACCCATCTCTTTGATTCGCACCCTCTTGTGTTCACCAGGTGCCCTGATCTTGCCTGAAAGCGTGTGGTTACAAAACTGTATTTGTGCAGACGGAGGAGGCTAGGACAAGGCGCGCCAGGGCTTGGAGTCCCCCATTAAAGAGAATCTTCTGACAGGTGTGAGTTACTTGCCTAACGGCTCCTTGCTCTTAGTGTGTTGGAAAGCTATCTTCTAGCCTGCAACAGTACCAGCCAGCACTGCAGATAAGGAAGAGTAACATGAGGAGAGGAGAGGAGGCTGTGAAACTATTCTGTGTAAGCACTAGCCCTACCAGCTTTGTCTAGCAGCCAAGGCAAGGTCAGGTATGTACACCATAGTTGTGCTCGGACTGTTTAAAATTTTTCCTAGCTTAGGCAAAAGTCAGCTTCAGTACGTCTCAGTGAGAAATCCTTGGATCTGACACCGAAGCCCTGTGCACCTGCCAGAGAGACATTCAGATGTCTCTCTTCTCAAATCTGAACAGTATTTCTCTACCTCAATCTGATCTTTGAAAAGGTAAATGCGTTAATGCTTGCACGCAAACACGTGGTGAGAGGAGCCATCTGAGGTCATCTCCAAGAGCAGGGTTTTCCACCCCTTCTCCTGACTGCGCACACCTCTTGCCAGGCAGTGTCAGAGGCTCAGCCGTCGCTTGCCATCGGGAGGGCAGGGTGGGAGGTAGCACCCGGGCTGATGGATGGGGGGGTCAAGCTCTGGAAGTCAGCTGAGTGTTGGAAGCCTTGAATGGCAAATGAGTTCGTGTTTGCAAAACGTGGGTTTGGAAATGTCAAGCGTGGTGAATGTCACCATGTAGGAAAGGAAAAAAAAAAAAAATAGGGACAGAAGTATCTGGCAGCTACTGAAGTATCCGGATGCTCTCACCCTTTTGCCCTCTGTAGCAAGCCTGACCTTACCAAATCTCTCTTATCGCATTGCAAATGAAGTGTGACCCCCAAGGACGGTTTATCTCCACCTCATTACATAGGCAGCTGATGGCTCATTTACTTGTTTCTGACCTGGGCCCGAAGAATGCGCTTGTGCACATCTGATGGAAAAACATTTAAAGGCAGAGGGTTGGAGCTGGAGCGGAGGGAAAGGACAGGGAGCAGTGCAGGGAAAGGGTCGCATACAGGCCACACCATCCCCGTGTGTTAGAGGTGGACGCTTTATGAGCGTGACAGCAGCAGAAATGGGGTTTTCTTCAGCTGGAGGCTTGCCTAGAAAAAGACAGATATGGAGAGCATTGGCTGTAGAAAAAGACCGAAGCTTGCAATGACCAGCCACTACTAACGGGAGCTAGGAAAAAGCTGCAGTTAACATTTGAACCAGAGCAAATTGTTGACTCCGGGAGGGAGTGTGCCCGGGTCTGCCTGCGATTGCTTTGTCCGGGGGTGAGCCCCGGCTGCCTCGGTCCTTGGTGGGGCGTGGGAATTTCCCCAGGGAAATTGGGCTGATGGAGGTGGGGATCCATCCCAAAAGCTGCGAAGGGAGCCGAGCTGGGGGCCGGGACTGACTCTGTCGCTCAGCCAGCCCGAGCAGACTGTACTCGTGGGTCCAGCCTGGCGACTGCTGCGTGACCAGGGCAAATCACGCCTCTGCCTCGGTTTCCCCGATGTGAATTGAGACCACCAGGGCTCATTCCCTCACCCGGGAATTGCTAATGTAAGGAGCAGAGCGTAACAAATTTGCCAGGGCCTGAGCAACCTCAAAAGCTTGGAAGTGTTTTCAGGGAAGAAAAGGCATAATAAATAAAGGCACTAATTTCAGCTGCCTTGAGACTGGGGCAGTCTGGCCTGAGCCTGAAGCCTTGGACTCTGTGGCTGTTTTGGTACATAACATCTCATTTTCCTTTTGCCATTAACGAAGCCAAGAGGGCACTCGGGCAGCTGCTCGCATTGTGCCCCACGCAATTTGCCTCCCAGCTCTTGCTGGGGGGAGGTAGTATTTTGCAGGGGCTCAACATATCTCCTGCTGCTCTGCTTGTATCCAAGATCTCCTCGGGCCCAAGTCCTCATCAGCCATCTGCCCTCGTTGCGCAGGTTGACAGGATGCCGTGGGTAAATGGATAACCTGTCAGGAAGGCAGGAGGATAATATCATTCAAATGAATCAATAGTTCACAGGCAATTTCATGTTACCTAACGTTAATGCGGTTGTGTCCAAAATGCACTTAATCCTGTGTCTGATCACATTCTCGTGGGAGTTTGCCTTGCTGGAACAGTCTTGTAACTCCATGTTTCAGAGATTTACAGACATTGTTCCTACGTGCACGCATACGCAGGAAAGATAAAAAATGACTTGACTCGCTGAGATCTCACAGTCCACAGAGCCAAAAGGCATTCGTATTAATGATGGAAGAGAATGGGTATCCAGCAGTTTCTGAAACTATTACTCCCACCTTCTCACTCCATTGTAGCAATTAGCAAAAGAGAAATTAGTGAGGAAGGCACCATTATTTCCTGTTAATAGGACAAGGAGGGCTGGACTCTTCTCCAGGAATCTGGCTTTGTCGTGTAACTGCTTCCATTGACGTGAGTAGCAAAATAGAGCTCTCCCTTTTTGCTTTTATTTTTTTTTATACATCTTACCACTTTGCTCTTCAGAAATGCAAGAGGATGGGCCCTGCACCAAAGCCTGCAGTCAAAGCACCTTCCCACCCTCCCCAGGGGCATTAGGATGTCCTGTGATTGGTATCTCCTCCTGGTACCCGATGGCATGAAGGAGCAGGGCAGAATTGCCCTGTGGGGAGAAACTCATTTAATTTAACAATTTAAACTTTGTATCACTGAATTGGATATGGTGGTGGTAGAGCAGCTTCACTCAGCAGATGATGCTTGCTGCCCAGGCTGGGGTCCAGTTCAGGGTGCTCTCAGAGGAAATTAAAAATAGTAAAGAAAGGACATTAATTTCTCTCCAGACATGGGTCTCCACAGTCTGGTGGTCTTGGCAGCCTGGGGATCTCTCCTGTCCCAGGTTCGGATGGACAACTATTGCCTGTGTGCTCGCGCTCTGGGCCTCTCGGCCATAGCGATACCTGGGCACTGCAGTGTTTTTGTGGGGAACACAGCAGGGATCTTTTTCTGGAAGTGCCTCGGAGAGAGCATTGCTTGGGAAGTATAAATCTGCTAAGGAGCTCTGTGCTCTGGACTTCCCACAACAGAGCTGACCTTCTGTGGCCAGTTATAGCAGGTTACTGGCTTCAACTGAAAAATATCACCTACCTGCCTGCCTCCGCTGTAACCTCTGTGTTACGGGGAACCTCCTGTCAGAAGAGTTGGTTTATAAGCTGAAAGGATAACATCACACTCGGGCACAGTTGGCAGGAACCACAGCTCAGAAAAGAACAGTTCCCGGAACCCACTTTGGTTTTGGACTTTTTGTGGAACTTGGCCAATAAAGTACTGGACTTCGCTGACATCTTCACTCAAAGCCTGAGACAGGCAGCCCGCTGAGTCGAGTCGTGGTTAGCAAGCAGGCTCTTCCTTACTGGCCGGTGGGTGGATTGCAGCCCTAACTTGGAGGTGGTAGGTTCCATGTGCAGGTTGTTGTAGCTGCATGGTCCCGTCTTCTCTTCAATGGTATTGAGTGGTTCTGAAGATTTTGGTGCCTGTTTTCTTCCCTAATCCCATTTTCTGTTTTGGACTGCTTTAGGAGTTTTCTCTCCAGCGCCTGGACAGCCTGCTGGACGACCGAGTCAACATCCTGGGATTTTCCATTTTCAACCAGTCTCACGCTTTCTTCCAAGAGTTCGTCCAGAGCCTCAACCAGTCCTGGCAGGAGAACTGTGATCATGCTCCTTTTACTGGGCCAGCAGTAAGTAAAATTCAGTCGCATTGTCCACAGCCTCTCTGAGTCAGAAGCTGCCATAGTCCATCAGGAAAACCTCGTGCAAAGAGCTGCAGGCTGGTTCTGAGCAGACACTGGCAGTGCAGTGTGAGTGAAGACCATGCAGAGGTAGAAACTCTGGTCTCAAATGCGTGGGCGCATGGTATTGACTAATTATTTAATCGAGGTAACCCCTGTGCTAAAGAGGTCGGGCACATCACTGGGCTGCTGTCATAGTGCTGTACTTTGGATTGGCTTTCGTGGTTGTCAGTCTTGGGGAGATGGCGGTCCAGGAATGGGAAGAATGAACCAGACAGAGCACCTTAGTTAAGTAGGTAGGAAAGGACTTGGGGTGTCAGGCTGTGACTTATAGGGGAGCCCCCTGATCTGGAGAATACTAAGGCAATCCTGAAAGCCTGTGGTCGCCCAAAGGGACCTTGGGGAGCCATGTGGCTACAGAGCTTTAGAGGGCTTGTCTGCACTTGAATGGCTATACAGCTTTAAATTCAAGGCTAATCTTAATTTGAATTATATTTGCTATGTGAGTGCAGGGGATGATGCAGCCTTGATTCAGTGTCTCCCTTGTGAAATTTGTCCCTATGTATTTACCTCTAGGAAAATGGCTTGAGGAAGAGGCAGTCCGGATGCAAATAGCATAGAAAGGGGCGGGCTTAGGCAGATGCCAAGGGGCTGTGTTATGTTGTATGCTGTAACATCTCCCTGATGAGTGTGCAGATCAGCACTGAAATCTTCCCTAGGGACTCTTCATAACTGGGAAGGTTTGCAAAGCAGATTTGCCAAATCAGGCATGCAGGGGGCCGCGGCTGGAGCTGGGGGAAGGGAGAGAGAAAATGCCATCAGTGGAACCCTTTGCATCATTTTTAATGAACTCAGAGTCCCCTTGACAAGCTGAGGCAGCTGCGTACTGCTGAAAACCTACTTATTATCACTACAAAGTGATCGTAAGCAGGCAAAATAAGGAGCTTTCTGCCCTTTATGCCCACCTCCTATTAGCTTGACATGGATCTCAGGCCATGGCTAGTACATGCCTGGGACCATCCTGCTCTCCCTCCTCCTAGCTGTCCCGGGTAGAGGTGGCTGCAGTGATCTTGCTGTCTGCCCTGCTAAATCTCTATAGATTGCTACCAGGAAGCCTCCTATTTGGATGACAGTTGCAGGGATGTTTGGAGGCATTAAAAATACATTTCCTTCTAATAGTACAAACAGAAGACAGTAGGAACAGGGGCGTTGCAGATGTGATGGGGAAGTCAGTGATCTCATTGCGCTTCTTAACCTGTGTTGTCTTGAACAACCAGCAAAATTTGTAGGTGAAAGCATGCAAGAGTATGCCCCATTGCAGCACTTTTTTTTTTTTTTTTTTTTTTTTTTTTTTTTTTTTTCTAAAAGGGGGGGGGTGTAACACGGATTCAAGAGTTGGCTGCACTCTTGGTTCGAAGTGGGGGAGGA